AATCATTTTATGAATCCTTCATTTAAATTGAATATATTTAAAAAAAATGTAGCATTTTAAATGGTTAAACAATTTAGATTTGAAATTTCATTATCTTGCTATCAGTAAAGTGACATGTATCAAACTATTGATTTATAATAGAGATCCAGTATACAAGGTTCAAACTGGTGATTAGTCATTTGTAGGAAAGACATAATAAGATGCTGAGACAGTAAAAGCAATGATTTATATGAGAAACCCAGTATATAAGATCTGATCAAAAAGTATCCAGACTGTTGCAATGGTAATGGAGAAAAAGTATACACAATGAAGCTGCTCAGCACAGACTGATCTTGAACTCTGTTGCACATGCACGCTAAGCTATAACATTCTCACTCACTTCTGTTGTTTATAGGACTGCTTGGAAGGAAAGTGTGTAGAGTGCGGTAATCTTACCACACAACAGAGATTCCATTAGTGACCATGTTTTGTGCATTGTCAAGGTCCAACAACCACAATATTCCCCAAATCTCACCTCTTTCCAAAAATCCAATCTGAGTAAAAAAGAAACAAGTTTTCAGGATGCCGAAGAAACTCAAAAGAATGCAATGAGGCAGGTGCTTGCTATCCCCAAAATAGGAGTTCCAAGAATGCTTCCATCAATGGAAACAATGATGGATGAAGTGTGTGGCTTCAGAAGGGGGACTACTTTGAAGAAGATTAAATGCCAAATTGATATGTTTTGTAGTTTTCTTTTTATAGCACTAGTATTGATACTTTTTGATCAGACCTCATATAAGGTTCAAATTGACAATTATTCATTTGTAAGAAATACATAATCAGACAACATTGCAGTAATAGCAATAATTAATATTGTGAAGCATTGACAATTACTCATTTGTATGAAAGTTATAATAAAACAGTGAAGCTGTAATTGCAATGATTTATATCAGGAGCCTCTACAAAACTATACAAAGTTCAGTTATATAATATATAGGTGCATTTTAAAAAATCAGAATATTGTAGAAAAGTTCCTTTTTTTTCCATAATCTTCTACAATATTATAGGAAAGTTTCTATTTCCTGTAATCTGCTAGAATATTGTAGAAAAATTCCTTTTCCTGTAATTTGCTAGGTTACCTGCTAGGATGTGTTACGAAGCTTTTATTGCAGTAATCTATCTTCCACCTTCATAATTTATCATTCAACCATTCATTGAATATTACTACCATATCTAATCTGGTGCTTCTGCTACACATTTAGAGGTTCTTGCCAAAATCCCCAAAAGAATCTGCAATATTATTGGTTTTGACCTGGTATCACAGCTTAGTCAACAGTCCCACTGCCATAATGTGGCTTCCCTGTGCCTTTTTCTATAAATATTTTTATGGTACTTGTTCTGATGAGCTTTCCTCTTTTGTCCCTAGACTTTATGAATTTAAGTGCAGTACTAGATACATAGCTAGGTCTCGTCATTTTACAGATGAAATGGCTAGATGTAACCATAAGTTCTATGCTAATAATTTCTTCTCTGGTACTTCTCAATTGTGGAACTCTCTTCTGGCTTCTTACTTCCTAGTCAACATTGATCTTTAAAAATTTAAATCACATGTCAATTGTTATCTTCTATCTTCTTAATTCTTTTTATTTTATTGTCCTCTCTCCTCTTTTCATATTCTCTAACACTCAATAACCCCTTGCATCTTAGTGGCTTTATTACCTTGCATGGGGTTGAAATGATTAAAAAAGAAAAAGAAGAAGGCTTTATGAATTTAAATGCAGTACTAGATTGGCAGCTAGGTCTCATCATTTTATAGTTGAAATTGATAGATGTAATTATAAGTTCTATACTAACAGTTTCTTCTTTCACATTTCTTGCTTGTGGAACTCTCTTCCAAACTTCTTTCTTTCCAGAAAAAATAAATTTTCAAAAATTTAAATGCTTTGTTAATTGTCAACTTCTGTGTTCTTAATTCCTGTTCTTTTATTGTACTCTCTCCATAATAATGTTTTCTTCTCAGTTTCTTTCACACTCAGTAACCCCTTGTGCCTTAGTGGCTTTATTGCCTTGCTTGGGGTGAAATGATTAAAAAAATTGCATTGGCTTTATTTTCTGCAAGAATAATCTAGGATTTTATCTATGTATATTAACTTGTAGAAGTTTGAAGGGGGGGAGGATTTGGCCTTATCAAAATATTCAAAATGTCTATGAAATTAAAGGAAAAGAAGAAAAAGTAAGCAAACCAAAGAAGAATCTGCAATGTTATTGATACTCATCTGGAATTTTGACTTCAGTCAATTTCCTACACCACTGTAACATAGCTTCTCTGTGACCTTTCTATAAATATTTTTGCAGAAAATGTCCTGATGTGCTTTCCTTTTAATTCTCTTTGACACTCAGTAACCTATTGTTTCTTAGTGGTTTTATTGCCTTGCTTGGGGTGAAAAAGTTTCATAACCCATAAAGTGAAATATTTCAATCCTCCTTTTCTGCTTTAATTTTGATGCTTACAGCTTGTGAAAATAAATAAAAAATAAAATGAATCAATCAATAAATGCCAAATGTTTCTGTTATGGTAATTTACTCACGCACGAATAGACTCTCCCAGCTATAAAAAAAGAGCAGGTACTGCCTTTTAGAGAGTGTAGTTTCCAGCAGTCAGCTTTGACAGTCGGACCGAACATTCTTGCTTGTTTCTATATGTTTTGTATTACTGTTTTTGTTAATATATTTGTTTAACCCATTTCCTCTCCTTGTGTCTTTATTTCTGGCCCCAACAGTTTCCTTATAAGGAAACAGCTAATATTATTATTATTATTATTACTGATTTCATATTGACTCATTCTTTTTGACCTTTTGGTAATTTTCATTCTTTTTTTTCCATTTTGAAGCTTCCCATTTCCTGCAAAATTTAAATCTGCTGCAATAAAAAAAAACAAATGAAAGGTCTCAGGTTTTTAATGCAAGCTCTGTTTTGATCATGAGAAATGTGCTTCTTACTCTATAATCATATTAAAATCTTGACGGGTGTCATGTCAAGTGGTTTAGAACTTTTGCCGGCGATATTTTCAGTATCACAATAAACTCCCTTATAATGCGTTCACATGAATATAAAAACTGGCATTACAGCTACAAATAACCACAGATACAACTCCTGAAAGTACATTGTTGAATACTTTTTGTTTTTTTAAGTAATGTTCTCTCAATACAAGGCTCAAGAACCACTCAATGTAGAGAATTACTGTGTGAAGTTATATTAGCATAGGAAAGAACAAACATTAGAAGTATAGAACTGAAGTAGACTTTTTTTACCAAATAAAAGGCCCAAGAGCCACTCAATTTAGAGGGTAACTGTGTAGTATTGGCATAAGAAAAGGCAAGAAGTGAAGTTCTTGGTAGCTTCCAAGAACTTTATTTATTGCCCTTTGCAGGAAAGATAACAGTTAACTCTAGTTTTGAAGAGATCTTGAAAAGTTCAAGATTTAATTAGTGAATAATGCTTCAGAATTCAGTCAGAGACTTATTTATTTATTTATCTATTTTTCTTTTTACAGTAAATTTAATGTAGAAGTAGATTTTAGAAGGAACCAGAAACCCAGTCCTAAACTGGAAACAAGGGATAAACCTCTACTCCTGTTCAAAAGATGGGGAAGGAGTGAGAACGGGATGATAGGCAAACCTATCTATGGCGATTAAGAAAAGAAACAAAAGTTCAGAGTTTTAGGCAGATTATGTTAGAAATAGAGTAGAAGTATACTTTAGAAGGAACTCGAAACCCAATCCTAAATAGGAAACAAGGGATAAACTTTTACTACTGTTCAAAAGACTGAGGCTTATTCTTAGAAAAAAATTATAATAATTTTTTTCTAAGAATTTCTAATATTCTAAGACACTACAGATGGTAAAATGCCTTTAGCTAGGTATTTTTTGGAAAACAAAATATTCGATGATTTAATATTTACTGTACAAGCGAGTCCAAGTTGTTGGTGGTGTTTTTCTTTCTGTCTCACATTTTGGACCTATTATTAAATATTTGCAGTTATTATTAATTAGACTTTCAATAGTTTAGCACAATGTTATATGAAAGACTTAGAGTACTGGTTGGAAGCTGATTAATAGTTATCAAAATAAATACTCAAAAAAAAAATATATATATATATGGTATGATACTAATGGGATATACAGTATTTATTGGTATAAGAATGACAATTGGAAAAAATCTTTATCAAGGCAAACAATAAAAGTGAAATGTTGTCATAGTTACATTAAATCTAAAATTTAAAAGAGAAAGATGCTCCTGTGTAAGCCTCTTTCTGGCTAATGGTAACTTCCTTTATACTAAGAGTTTGTTTTTTGTTTTCAGTGTCGACAATAATATAGTAAAATTTCCCAGAATAATTCTGTGGAAAGACAAATTCTAATTCTTATATCAATATGACTACTTCTAGGAAATTTTACGCTATTTATTATATACAAACATAATTGTAGGCTTCTATTATATGTCCGAGTCTTATGATTGCTTGTATCTTATGACTGGGGTTTGTGATTGCTGGCAAACTCCTGTCTACAACTTGACCTTTCAGTGCTAAGATGCAGAGTGATTTTTGAGGACATTTTCCAGGGAAAAAGATGTGTCTTAAAGTACAGGAAATATGGTAAGCAAAATGATTTTTTAACAAAGTGGCTCATTTCTTTTGTTTGCCACTGTATACATTGCTGCTGGTTATTAGATGTGAAAGTGTTCAAGGACATTTTTGGAATATCTATGAAATGATTATTATTATTTTTTTTTTTTTACAAAAGAAACTGAACAACATATTTACATATTGGAGTGGAATGCAGGCACAGGAGCTGTCAGGCATATATCCCTTATTGAAATAAGCTGAACAGAAAAGAAAGCTTTATAAATCTGAAATCTCAGCTGCTTGCCAAACCTGCTAATGTCTCACATATAAGTCTCAACAGCTATCTAAGAGCTAAATCATAGAATCCCTCTCTCAAATCTTTGTTTGCAAAGCCAGGCCATGATAAAGAATTATCTATCTATCTATCTATCTATCTCAGTTTGTTCATATCTATCTATCTATCTATCTGTTTCATTAAAGATGAAGGCAAAGTACTGTGATTAAGCTGCAAATATTTGAAGATTATAGCTATCAGGGAAGAAAGTAGCAGGAAGGGAGTTCCACTGTTGGGAAGTCTGAGAGAATAAGCTCTTGGAGTAGAAGAGATGGTTATATTTAACCGTTTCAACAGTGAAAGGGTGGGACCAAAATGCCAAGCTAGTAGCATGTTTAAATTCATGCAGTTTGTGTACCAGTGAAAGTAGCTTGTCAGAGCAGTTGCCATAAAAATATTAGTAGGAAAGACAAAGGGAAGCCACATCATGTCAGTGAGAGAGTGACTGTAGACAAGATGTCAGATCAGGACCTATCACATTGCATATCCATCTCTGGATTTTGTTGAGGACCTCGAAATGAGCAGCTGGGGCACCAGACCATATATGGCAACAGTATTCAATGCAAGGATGAATAACTGATTTGTAGATAATAAAGGAAACTGGTGTGCAGTGTGCCTCAAGGTCTTTAGATGACCCTTGTCAGGTTTTGAATTCAGGGTTGTCCTTCTAGACTGGTTGCCAATCAAAGCTAAAGAGCCCAACCTGTCCTACTGTTTAACCCATAGCTAGGAGGAGACAAAGAAATAAATGCATGCATTTCCTAAGTGAATATAATGAAATCAACTGGAATTTGAACTCTGAGTTCTCATGATAGTTTGCTATCCCTTACACTACATGTGAGAGAATGTATCATACAAACTCTTTATATTAGACTAACAGTGGGTAATTGAATGACAAAATGGTAAAAAAAATATATCCTAAGTAATTTTTTGCACTTCAGAATAAATAATGGGTTTATCAGTAGAATTGTATATATGTAGGGGATCTTTTATACAACACTGAACTCAGTACATTAGTTCTTTATTGTAAAAAGTCTGAGCATAATTTTGACTTAGAGAATGCAGTTTTAATTAAGAGAGAAGGCAATTTTAATAAATTGAAGCCTTAGGTTTTTCAAAAGTCTTTAATAAAGAAAAGACTCTTGAGAAACAATCGGCCAGGAGATGAAAATTACACCATTTAAAAACAGAGATGTCTACACAGACACGTGTAGCCACTAAATGAAATGGATACATGAAAAGAAATAATGTTTGATTATAAATAAAATTCCATTAATTCCTTATATATATATATATATATATATATATATATATATATATATATATATCATTTTAGACAGATAGAGAGGGAGAGACATAGAGAGAAGGAAAAACTAGTTAAATTAAATTGTAAATCATATATAGGCATATATGCATCTTTAGGATATATATATATATATATATATATATATATATATGATATATATATATATATATATATATATATATATATATATATATATATATATATGTATATATATATATATATATATATATATATATATATATATATATATATATATATATATATATATATATATATATATATATATATATATATATATATATATATATATATATATATATATATATTTTTATATATATATATATATATATATATATATATATATATATATATATATATATATATATATATATATATATATATATATATATATATATATATATATATATATATATATATATATATATATATATATATATATATATATATATATATATATATATATATATGTTTATATATATATATATATATTTTTTTGTCTAGTTTATTGTTGTGGATAGTATTGTTTTTTTTGCAGCAGTGTATTTTTATATACCTTTCTCTTTCAGTTCTGGATGAAGTGATAAGTATGTGTGTGTGTGTATATATATATATATATATATATATATATATATATATATTTATTATCCCAAAGATGCATACTACCATATAAAATTGTAATTTAAAAATTCTGTCTTTTTTGTGGGGGTGGTGTTCACCCTGCCCAATACCTGAAGGCCACTCAAAGTAGACGGTTTACTGAGACACAGCTTATGTAGATATGTGTGGATGATAATAATTAACTATTGACTTGAATAGTTTAAGACTGTAGTGATCAAGGAAGCATCCTCTTCGGAGGCGGTTCTACATAATTGAATCTAGTTAAAAAGTAGGAAGCAGATCTTAATCTAACATGTTTCACTTTATTAAAACTTCATCAGAGATTAAGACAGGATTTGTTAAAACATGCTAAAAAGCAAAGAGACGCAGATTAATGGTATGTTGTGTTTGGTTATTTCTTATTGGTTAGATATGTGTCACGTGTAAAGATATAACAGATAATATTCAAATATGTGTGAGAGACATGATATTTGAATATTATCTGTTACTTCATTACACATGACACATATCTAAGCAATAAGAAATAGCCAATAACATTGTAGAGTCTTGTTTTTATATTAACAAGAATTTATAAATACATAGCAGAAGCAGGAGACCATATGTAGCAGCAATATTCAATGCATGGAGGAATGGTAGACTTTTTAAAAATTTTGAAGAGAAAAATTCACTGGAAAGCAAGAATCTGGAAGAGAGTTCCACAAGCGAGAAGTGCAAGAGAAGAAATTTTAGAAAAGACGGAAAGGAGAATGTTCTACACTTATTCATCTTTTTGTTTTTTTAAATTTCAAGGATAGTGGATTAACAAGGCATTCTGGTTTGACAGTGAACCTCAGGATTTGAAGCTTGCCAATCAAAAGTTTAACTACTGGGCTATGTTTTGAGTCTTTGTAGAAAAAAGACTTTTGAGAATTTCCTTGAAAAAGCTCAAGTGTATAAGAATTAAATAAGAGAGGAATAAAAAGGCTGAAAAAAATGTCTATCAAAACCTGAAACATAATTGAATGTAGGTAAGTAAATAAAATATATAGGATGTCAGAAGAGGCGGAGAAAGAAAGAAAAAAGAAATGAGAGAGGAAGAGAGTGAAAGAGGGAGAAAGGAGATAAAAAACGAGGGGAAAAAGGTCATTAAGTAAAAGATTTAAGGTGGGGATATATATATATATATATATATATATATATATATATATAGTTATATATTTAGGCAGCAATCCTTCGTTTATGCATGTTTCATTAAAAACAACAGACATGGTACTACGGTTAAGCTTTTTATTTAATTTTTCTTGTGTACCTTTAGCCATTATCAAGGATAGTCTAATCTGGTTAGGTACAAAATAGCAGTAATAAAAAATTTTCTAAAAAGAGCACACCAGAATTCATCCTCTCGACTACTCTTCCTCAAAGAACTTAATAATGTTAAACAAACACTAATCAATAACGGCTTCCCTAACCCCATTATAGACCACCAAATTAGACTATTTCTCCCCAAAGCAAGCAATAACAATAGTGAACACACAGTCAAAAATTACATACACATTTATTACAAAAACCAAATGCACATTAATTACAAACATGAATCTTCACTAAGACATATTATAAAGAAATACACTACCCAAATTGACTTGAATAAAAAAATCAAATTAATCATCTATTATAAAAAAAATTTAAGACAGCTAACGTTATCCTCAAAAATAACAACACACCAACTAAGTCAAAATTACAAAGAACGAACATTATCTATGAGTTCAAATGCCCCTTAAGGAACTGTGTTCCTGATCAAAATGGACTCATAAATAATTACATCGGTTACACAACCACATGCTTATCCAGACGTCTTACGTTACACCTATCTGATCACAGCTCCATTAGAACACATTTAAACACACACACACACACACACACAAATTTACCAGACTCCATTAGAAACATACTAGTAGAAAACACAAATATAATAACTGCATCCACCTGTAAAAAAATGATTAAAAATAATGGAAGCTTTAATAAAAAAAAGAAAAAGCTAACTCTTAACAATATTAACTATAAACAAGGTCACAATGTTTTAAACGTATTCGGAAATTAAAACATCCCTACTACACACTAAAACATACACATAATGCAGACACTCAAGCTGAAAAATTGAATCCTCCTTGATAATGGCTAAAAGTATAGCTGAAAGCGCTTGGATATATAAAACATTTGGACAGTTTTTACACACTTTGTCCAGAAAAGAAAGCTCTTGTTCGAACACAAGAAAAATTAAATAAAAAGCTTAACCGTAGTACCATGTCTGTCATTTTTAATGAAACATGCATATATATATGCGTGTGTGTGTGGTCTTTATGACCCTAATGGGTTATGGGACATGTGCAGACACACACACACACACACACATATATATATATATATATATATATATATATATATATATATATATATATATATATATATTACATAGAATGGAAAATAGAATGGATATCCAAAATTACCTCATTCTGAATAGCTATTTAAACCCACAAGATTTTACTTTTAGGCCTTGTTAACTAGAGGTCTGAGGAAATGAAATAGGAGCTTAAAATTTAAACATTTAAAGAATAAAAGAAGAAGATGAGGAAGATAGAAAAGAAAAAAGAAAGAGAGGGAGCAGCAGATGAAGATGAGCAGCACATAAAATTTATGTAAACATCCAAATATTATAATGAGAATCTAGACATTAAAGGAATAAAAGAAGAGGAAGAGAGTAAAAGAAAAGGAAAAAAGCAAGAGAATCAAGAGAGTAAGGAGGAAGTGGCAGATATAAATTTAAATAAACCCCAATCTCATGGTAGTAGACCTGGTTCAATTAGACAGTTAAAATAAACTTGACCTATATTTTAAAATATTAAAAACTCAAATTAGTTTGAGACAGAATCACAAAATTAAAGAAAGAAACCCAAAATTTATGTTAGTAAAAAATAGAATAGATTTATTTAATATTTTATTTCAATAGAAAGTTTATATAAGGAAAATTACTTTAAAATATTTGAAAATTAGAGAAGATTTTTTATAAAATTGTTAAGTAAAAAGATAACATCTAAAATTAAAAATAATATAAAGCAATATATAGAATAATAATACATACAATAAATAAAAAATCATAAAATAATTATTAAATAAAATTATTGAATAAAATTAAATAAATTATTAAATATAAAATAATAAGTATAAAATATAAATTAACATTTAGA